TTACGAGTGCAGTGTTCGCAGAACCGTCTGTGAAAGTGCACAGCAAATACATATATATATATATACACACACATACATAAATATGTATGTATCTTACTATCGATTATTTTTGCGTGTATTCATGTTGTGCTTACAAGCACAAAAACGTTTCATCGATTGATCGTTCGGCCGTGTTCGATCGATCACACGAAGAAAATCATATTCGTTTGCTTTACGCACAACACACACACACACACACACACAGACACGCGTGCCGCGTGTCCCTTTATACACGTGTATTTCACTCTTCTCCGCTATATATACATACATATTACTCTTTTGTTGTATAACCGCCGGACGGTTCTGCGTGCCGGTGCTTTTTGCCTCTCTTAAGTACACAATTCCGTACTTATTGTTCGGGCAATACCAACGATTTCTTTGTAGAGCGTAATTACCCTTGACAACAATAAATTATTGTCATTACCCTTTGTGTTATTTGCGTTATTGTCGCTCCTTATAATTATACACCCTATGTTCTTCGATATATATTTCTTTAGTTTCTCTCTCTCTCTCTCTTTCCGAACACACATCATCCTTTCAGCCTCTGTCTCATACTCTTCTTTTTCTTTTTTCGTTATTTCTGCTTTTTAATTTCGAGTGTGCAAGACGAAGATATACTACGCCCCTGTTCTCAGATTATACTATACCTCTAGTCGAGTATATATACTGTATATATACATATATATATATATATATATATGTATATGTACACGTAGTACGTGTATCGATTAATTTGGTTGATGCGCTCTGCTTGTGTCGTTACGGTAAGTGCTGTTATTCGTTTCGCCGCCGTTGCTTTTGCCTTTCGTTCGATTCGTTTTTTTTTTTTAGTCACACACAAACACGAACATAGAGACACAGATAGTTACACGTACGCACACTTTCACGCATACATACATATATATATATATGTACACGCGTATTTATTTATTCGCCGTAACTTGTTTTTGCATACCTATATCTCTCTGTGAAAGCATTCCGCGAACGCGCGAGCGCACGTGTCGCGTCGCATCGCTCCGATGCTATTTTTCCAGGCCAGAAACAGAGCGTGAAACAGAACTGTTCCGCCCGTTTCTTCCGGCGAGGAAATAAAGAACGAGCTTACACGAATATACACACCAACGCACACACATGCATACACGTGTGTTATTTATATATGAACGTTTTTAAAAGGCTCAAAAAGAGAAGATATCTCTTTTTTTTCGGCTTCGTTATCCTGCCTTATCTACGCTTGCGCGCGGGGGAAAGTGCTCGCGCTGCAAATTAGATTAGTGTGCGAGCGTCTGGTAGCTGTGTAGCGGTATGCACGTAGAGTACACGTAGAAACGTAGAGAAGTAGATGAGAGGTGAAGAAAAATCGAGGGCGTCTATTATGTACTCTTCTCTCTCCCCCATTCTCCGACGTTCTTTTTCCCAGTTTTCTTTCACCTTTTCTCTCCTCCCGTTCACGAGATTAGCTGCGTCCTGTTCTTCGCACAATCGAAAAAAAAAAAAAAAAAAAAAGAAACAAGAACAACACCACGTACGGAGGAGAATCATTCAGAACAGTCGAATTTCTACGATACGTCGAGAAAAAAGAAAAAAAGTATCCAGAATAATAGAAGAACGTCTCGTCGAATGTTTGACCATTTTCTGTGCTCTTTTCTTTTTTTTTTTGTACTTATTTTACGAGTGATACACTTGAAGTTGAAGCTCGATTTAACGATACTGCTCGAAAAGTGTTTCGAGGACTCCCGGGTGCTCGTTACGGGGGAGAAACTACCCAATGGAATTTCATAGCAATTGTCGATACTCTCTGAAAGCATGGGAGCCACTCTTCCATCCTCGATATCGAGGTAAGGATACTCGAAATTGCTGTACAAGTTGGTCGTGTGTGTACGATGTGATAAGAACGTAAGAAGCGGGTGTCGTTTTGTATCGAAACGATTCTTCTCCTCTCGGGCTTTACGGAACGGGGCACGCGTGACGGCAAAGTGAACGTTTTACGGAGACCCTCGACGTTGTTTGAACCCGCAAGAGAGGGGAAAAAGTGACACGTAAAAGGATCCTTGACAAACACCCCAAGGAGAAACGCGTGACGAGCACCCTAGAACATTGATGGTCGGCTGAGAGGTTCTTCGGCCTTCTCGCGTGCACACTTTCGGTGGAAAAACGGTTCGCGTGGCGATCGATGATAGTGCGATTGCTCGTTATGGCAGGGGCGAAAATTTCGATCTTACGTTACTATTTACATTCTTCAATTAATAATCTCGTCGTTTCGAAATTGAAGTCGTAGTTGATTCATAATCCATAACTGAATTACGTCAAAATTGCTGTATATTTTCTTACCACAGTCCGTTATGTCATACATATGCTAATGTTACATGTTATCGTAAGAAAATGCTCAGGAGGGATTGAAGTTATAAAAAAAAAATTGTGTGACATATAGGTGGTCTAAATAATTTTTCTGCAAGTGTAATAGTAAAGGAGATATCGAAGTCAAGCTTCTTCAATTTTTAAATGGAACCCTATATTTTTTTTATTCGTAATACAGCGTTTGTTGAGACAAGTTCAAAACGATGTGCCGCAGGAAGTAACTTCATTGTACAAAAAATCGGTGTATGAGACCAAAAACCTCCACCTATTATCGATAGCCACTCGAAGTGCCTCTAACAATAGCTGATCACACCTACAATACAAAAATGGACAGTTAAAACGACACCGACGACGACGACAGAACAACAAAGGCAAATAACAAACTTAACGTAATTTTCCACGAGCAAAATCAAATTTCACATACACGTATTGACAAAAGACGAACGGACGTATCAAGGGTAAGAGGATGACGCCCGGACGTTTCAGTCTCTTTCTTGACCCCATGCATGAAACCGATTAGGATCGGGCCAGAGCGATACGGACGAGGCGATGGCGACGGCAGCTCTTCTGCGGAACAAACCAAGCCCGGGTTCTACGACCCTGGAGGACGTCCTTGACTCCCTCCTTGGCCTGCCATCCGCGTCGCGTACCCCGAGTCCTGGGCCAGGTCCCGTCGTAACCGGTACATCCGCCACCATGCGTCATCGAACTAACGTCGGCCAGGCTAATGCGAAAGCCGGGAAGAGCTGCAGTGACCTACGCCAAGACCTCCAAGGTAGGAGGACTATGTAAGTTTCCGTTCTGAGACGGATCCTCTCGAGAGAGGAGTCGAGAGAGGCTCAAAGAAATTCTAATCAACCATTTTCCCTTATGCGAATCTCTCTGTATGTGTATGTATTTCTACGTGTGTATTATAATCCGTGTTCTACAGACAAGCAGCGTGGTTGTTCCGTTCAAATGTTAACATGTGCTCTCTGTCTTTTTTTTTTTCTTTTCATTCTGGAACAATGGAACAGCCGGGAGATTGAGATGAAGAGAGGTGAAATTATTGAAGTAGTGCTGTCAGGTTTATTTTTGAAAGGAAAATAGAAATTAGGATGAAATTAGTTTGAAGGAATGGGAAGAATTCTTTTTTGAAAGAGCACGGGTTCGGAAGTGAATTTTCTTCTTTTCATTCAGAAACAATGGAGAAACCGGGAGATTTCTTTAAGAGTTGAAATTATTGAAGTAGCGCTATCGGGTTTATTTTCGAAAGGAAAATAGAACTTACGCGATTAGCAGGATTATAAATTAGTTTAAAGGAATGGGAAGAATTGTTTTCTTCTTCAAAAAATTTGCTTTTAATAGTGCTATCGATATTTACGAAAGCTTGCATGCCATTTGAACCGTAGTTGTACGAGAACTAGAATACATCCGTCGTATCGCTTGAAAGGCTTCATTCTGTCCCTAAAACGTCGGAACAAATCTTGTAACGCGCTTTCTAAATCGCTTTACACACTTGGTGTCTTTAATTTTCGAATATCGACTAAACTGAGATGAAATTGTAAAAGTTCTCTCTCCTACGCTATTTTGCAATGAAATAGAACGATTTATATTCTCACTGTTGGTCGAGGAGTATTTATAATTTTCAAGTATTTCTATTTGACATAGTGCACCTTAAATGTCGATTACCACGTCCAAGATACTGTCGAAAGTTGAATATACGTGTGACAAAATAGTTGATGTATAATTTGAACTTCGTTTCAAAGAATAGTAAATTAAATACAAAATCGCGAAAGATTCTGATCTGCATCAGTTTCGGAAGAAACTTTATTTTACAATATCGAAAATAGCTTCGGCGATTTTCTTTCATTTTAAGCTTCAATTTTAATTTTAAGAATAAAAATTTATCTCAATTGTAAATTTGAAACAAAACAGTTGAGAATTTAAAATGTGGAGAAGCGACTAAAATCTTTATGCGATTTTCACGTTGAATTGAAAAAAATTTAAGAATTTAAAATGTGGAAAGTGACTGAAATCTTTGTGCAATTTTCACGCTCCGTTAAAAATAATTTAAGTATTTAAAGTGTGATTTCCGCGTTGAATTAAAAAAAAATTTGAAGAATTATAAAAGTGTGAAAAGGAAACTAGGTATTTAGGTAGTAAAGTTAAGAGCAAATTGTCCTCGGTGATTTTCGGTTTCCCTGTATCAGTCGTTTCACTTGGCGAGTGTAAAAATCGACATGTTAACATTTGAACGGCGAAACCACACTGTGTGCATTTATATCGTCCTCAATTTATGCGCTCCGCTTGCGTTTCTCTTCGCCTCGTCACCATTCACCCCTCACACATACCACCCCCTTTACTTCTTTCTCTGTTTCTCTCTCTCTTCTTTGCATCGACTATATAATCGTTTCATATGCATCTCTCTCTCTCGCGAAAAAAGCAGCGGTGTTGGCGTTTCATGTGCATTTTCGCCGTAATTGTGTAGAATAATAATGCGAAGAAAATGATTCGTCGTGTTTTTCAGTAGACTTTTCGTGCTTCGAAATCAGCTTCACCGAAAAGTATCGAGTTTACGAGAATCGAAAGAAATAAATTCAATCAGAAAACTGTGTCAATATTTTCTACAAATAAATGTAAAGCGTTAATTAATTAAGAATATGAAAACATTCGTATAAGAATTTTTTTACCATGATAAAGTGCAATAAAATTAAAAAAAAAATCCAATTCTTGTGTTTGTCAAATATGATCGTGCATAAATTCTTTGTAATTAATTTACCGTATCGATTTAATCGTTTATGGAATACTTATTGTGTCACAGTTATTGCTTGCAGTTTTAACGTATCGGCACTTCAGATGAATGGAAATTTTTGTCAGTTAGGAACAGAAGGTATGAAAACTTTCTTTTAAAGTAGTCAATAATTTCGAGAAAGCAGATGAAAAATTCGTGTACCTTTAAGAAATTACTCAGTAGGAGAAAACTTCACTGTCTTAACTCGGGGAAGCCCAAGATGTTCGAAGGTTTAATTGCAAGTTTGAAATTGAAAAGGAAAGAAACAGGATATCTAATTAGTTTCTTTGCAATTATCAAGTATAATTACTTTCTGATTTATTACTTTACTTCCTTGAGCTTCCTAGGGTTAAACAAGAATATAATGTAAAGTTACAAACAATCAGTGCAATTTGAATAATTTTGAAAAACTTCAAAGATATATTTCCAGTTTTTATACAAACATTTTACATTTAGGAACGTGAAAAGGTACATTTATTATGTAAATAATGACAAAACGAACAATTACTATTTTAGTGAATATTTTTATATTTATTAAAGTTAGAAATTGCCTGAATGGAAATTTATTCGAACAATTGGTAAATTCAACGAGCTACTTATAAACAATACCTACTCAACTGAAATTTTAACTTAAGCTGCGTCTACACTATATATAGAAAAACAGTGTTATAAAACAAATTGTTTTATAACCATGTTCTACAATATGTTTTATAATTTTCTTTGCAAAAATAAGTTTGAACTCTAAAATTCAAAATTAAATATGAAAGTTATTTTTATTTGTTACCATTTCTTCCATTATAATCACCCTTTGAGACCGTTTAAATTCGGAATAAAAAATGTTCTCGTGCCACTGTAGCAAGAGAAAATAATTAGGTCTGCTGTTTTACTTAAATTAACGTAAATAACGCGAGAAATGTTACACCAAATTTTTCTTCCTCTTTTCCAACAAATGTTATAACTTCGCTGTACGAGCCAATCGGATACCAAATTGATTAACTCCATTCTTCACAATTTCTCTAATCTTAGTCAACTTTTCATAAACGAAACAAAACTTGACAAATTCCATTCGACGAAGTTAATCACTCTAACTTCTAATTGGCTCGCACACGGTGTCACGTTGTATAGTGTAGACGCAGCTTTGCCACATGTATGTTTTATTCAACATTGAATGAAAAATACCATGTATCTGTACGAATAATAAACAACATACTATTGAAATAAAAAAAAAAAAAATCTGTTCCTTACCTGTCACTTCATATTGACACAGTTTACCTTCTCAAGTTTATCTCACGACTACGTGTAACACGCAGTTGCAGAAGCGTCTAAAATTAGTTCGCGCGTAAATGAGAGAAAAAAAAAAGAAGAAAAAGTTTGTCAAACGCCAATACAAAAGTATAGATATACAACGGTGCATCGGGAAAACTTATCGTCACAAGAGGGTACATTTTTCCCGTTGCATCGTTCTCTCCCAGTCTTTCTTTTTTTCACTTCAGGATCGCTTACCTCATTGTCAACCAACACGATCAACAACGGAAGAGAAAAGAAAATTGAAAAAAAAGAGAAGCAAGAAGAAAACGCGACGATTCCAACTCTCTCTATCTCTCTCTATCTCCTGGTTTCTTTCGTTTTTCTGTTAAACTTATGTTGTTTTACATCCTTTTGCAGAGAAAAAACGGCGTCTAAAGTTCAGGGAGGCGGAATCGTAGCATCTCGCCTCCTTTGAATTCAGACGTCTCGATGGTGAGGCTTATCGATCAGAGACGAATTTACCGGTGCCAAAACTAGCCAATCTGGGACTCGGAGCTAATTATGTTTATGACGCCAACCAACGAAAACAGAGAAGACGCGAATCGTTAAAATATATACCAAATTCGTAAGGCCTCTTCCACGATTTTTTGTCTCTTTTCTTTTTACAATTTACCTACTTTTTTTCTTCTTAGTTTATTTTCTTTATAATTTGATCTCTAACTTGTGCCTTTCGATTTTAACAAAGCTCTTTCTTTCGTTGTTCGTACTAAAAACGGAAGCTTCTTTTCTTTTCGATGAATTTCTTTTTTCTTTTTCTACTTGGTTCTATGTGAACAACGTGTTTATTGTTATACAACTTGAAAAGAATGCCTGGTCAAGTGGGTTAATCTTCGTTGAGGATTTAACTGATACTAACACTCTACGATCACGAAAGGAAATGTCACGTCATTTTCATTCCATATAATAACGACATCGCTTTATATTCTCACGTTTCATTCTGCTTTAACGCGTTAACACCGTATCGATAGCGTTTGTGAGTGAAAGCATGGTGAGAACGATTCTTCAAAATTTTGGACAGATAACAGATGGTAAAGAAAGAAATTGTGATAAATTGCTTATAACGTATATTTTCTCCTTTTACGTCTGGAGAAACGAAAATAGTTGTTTCGAAGCTTGTGACAAATTCGGAGCGAATAATTCTTTCACGTGACCTAGTAATTCAAAATCGGGAAATATTAAACCCTGTGAATTTGGAGACCAAGTATTCGCGTCGCGAGTTCTTCATATTCAGTGTCTCCTCTAAAGATCTCCTTCCAAAAGAATATTTTTGTCTCGAGATCATCATTTCTTTGGGGAACTTTTACGCAAATGTGCCGCTATTTATCGACGAATTCACAGAGAGCATTCACAAAAACTAAGAAATACCCACTCAAAAAGCTCTATTTTACAAAATATCACTTTCAACCTTACAATAATTTCAAACAATTTAATACAACAAAAAAAAAAAAGAAACCAAGAATCGTTCTATCCAAGCGAACGAAACATATATCGGTACGGTGCACGTGTGCACAAGTATCGACTAACTCGACTAAAATCCTCTCCCATAACGTTCTGACGATCCGTACAATTGGCAAATGTCGCAGAGTCCGCTAGGAGCGTAATGGACGTGCAAGGAGCCACCGAGGAGCGTGCCTCGTACTACGTTGGTGAACTGGTGCGACGTAAGAGCGAGGGCAGCGATGCGATACCCTCGAAAACGGCGGCGATGCAGCCGAGGACCGGACCGTTGCGTCACCGTAGAGTATCCTTCGACAACAATCAAGAGGCGAACGGCGTGGTCGCCGGTAATGTCGCGGAGAAGATCGTACGTTGTCGGAACAACAAGTGCAGCAACACGACAACCTTGGCAGACGCGAAGAAAACCTACAAGAGCTGTCACAACTGCACCTGTCTCTACTGTTCGAGGGAGTGCAGGAGAGCGCATTGGCAGCGTCATCGAAGGACCTGCTTGCACTCGCGAACCGGTAACCTGTGCAAACAGGTGTTGTCCTCCGCGAAAGAGGATCCCGTCACGTTGAAGCACATCTCGGCATTGGCGAAGCGTGGCTACGCTTCACACGGTCGCGGCGCCGTCAAATGTTTCTTCTCCAGTCCAGAAATGGCGGAGAAATTCATCGCGAACGGCTTCGTAGACCTCGGAGAGCCAACCTACGTCCGATGGTCGGATCTGTTGGCGAGCGAGATGGGAGCCGAGTTGTACGCCGAGGTGATCCGATTCTGCAAATCGTACAATCCCGAGACCAGACTGGTGTTGTACGTGGCTATTTGTGTGGTCAGCGAGGTACCTACCAGCGGAGCTGTGAAGTGGGAACGACAATTGGTGTCCAGGTGTGCTAAGATCCACTTGGACTCGGCGAACAGGCAACACACGTCCTCCTCGTCCGCTTCTCCGCAAGGCAGACAACAGTCCACGTCTCCTTGTAACATCACCAGAGAGATGGAATCTCCAGAGATGCTCGTGCTGATCTCGCTGCCGGGCAACAACGGACAGAACATGCCCAAGAGGATCCGGGAGATCAGCTTCACCAACATCCAGAAACAGCTGAAGCAGAGAGGTGTGTCGCTTAGAAGGCACTTCCCGCAGGTGTACAAGAAACTGCGCGCGTACGTGGACGGTACCGTGGATAAATTCGCCCCTGTTACCATCTATCCGAGAGATCAAGCCTCCGGGAAGAGTTTCATATGCATCATCGTTCTTGGCGTCGAGCCTGAACGTCTTCAGCTGCTTCCCACAGATTCGTCTAGGGTTAAAACCGTTGATATTAGCGTCGAGCAGGAATAGAGAAGCTATCTTTCTCTGTTCGCTCGAGCTGGCTTTTTTTTAACGAATTCACCAGACTCTGTAATCATGTTCATGGGGAGGAGGAACGAGGGAGATATTGGAAGCTTGATCGATGAAGTATGATTTGTGAGTGAAACAGCTGAAGGAAACACGTGGAATTTATAGTAGCTAATGAAACGAAAGTAAGAGAGAGAAATGGAAGGATGATCTTTCGGGGAAAGATGACGATTTACCATGGATACAGGTGATTTATATTCCACGGCATTTCGTGTGGAGCAACGAATAATGTACACACATGGATGAATTAGATTCTACGTTGCCGACACTCTCTTGCCTTGATTCAGTTTTTGCGGAGACAGATCTGATTGTGTACACAGTTTGCGATT